TGAAACTCAGAAGCTTCTGTAAGGCAAAGGACACAGTCAGCAAGACAAAACGGCAGCCCACAGAATGGGAAAAGATCTTCACCAACCCCACATCTGACAGGGGGCTGATCTCCAGAATATACAAAGAACTCAAGAAGCTAGTCTCCAAAAACACCAAACAATCCAATTAAAAAGTGGGGTACAGAACTAAATAGACAATTCTCAATAGAGGAATCTAAAATGGCTGAAAGACACATAAAGTGTTCAACATCCTTAGCCACCAGGGAAATGCAAATCAAAACAACTCTGAGATACCATCTTACTCCTGTCAGAATGGCCAAAATCAAAAACACCTATGACAGTTTATGTTGGAGAGGATGTGGAGAAAGGGGAACACTTTTCCACTGCTGGTGGGAGTGCCAACTTATACAGCCACTTTGGAAATCAGTATGGTGACTCCTCAAGAAAATGGGAATCATTCTACCACAAGATCCAGCAATTCCACTCTTAGGCATATACCCAAAAGATGCACATTCATACAACAAGGACATCTGTTCAACGATGTTCATAGCAGCACTATTTGTAATAGCCAGAAACTGGAAGCAGCCCAGATGCCCCTCAACTGAAGAATGGATAGAGAAAATGTGGTACATTTACACAATGGAGTACTACTCAGGGGAAAAAAACAATGGAATCTTGAAAATCACAGGCAAATGGATGGAACTAGAAGAAACTATTCTCAGAGAGGTAACCCAATCACAAAAAGATAAACATAATATGTACTCACTCATATGTGGATTTTAGACATAAAGGATTACCAGCCTACAATCCACACTGCCATAGATGCCAGTAAACAAGAGAGACATACATGATCCCCTGGAGAAGGGGAAAGGGTCAAGATCTCCTGAGCAAATTGAGAGCACGCGAAGAGGGGGAGGGAGCTACGAGAATGAGAAGGGAAGAAGAGGAAGGATGCAGAGGTCATGAGGGAGCAGACAGGTTGAGTCAGGGGAAGAATAGAAGAAAGGGTATGTGATAGCAAGGGTTTTAATTGGGAGGGTGGTAGGGGAGGATGGAAGGGAGAAGGGAACTGGGATTATCATGTAAAACAATCTTGTTTCTAATTCAAATAAAAAAATGGTTAAAAAAATACAACAAAACTCTCACAACAAGGGCTTTCGTTGATGTAGCGAAAACAGTATGTTTGTACTCGGTCCTCAATTGGAATGGAATATAGCTCCATTTATTAGGCAAGCAACTTTGGGCCTTGGCTTCCTAATCAGTAAAAGCAAGGTGGCTAAGAGAATTAAAAAGCTTGTATGTGAAGTGCCTATAGCTGCACTGTAGTAGCAACACCAGTGATAAATGCCTGGTTGGATTTTCTAGGTAGCATTTCCTCAGGCTTTCACTTCTCAGTCTGTCTTCTGGTCTTAATGGTTTGTGTCTCAGGAGCTATTGGTGCCTCCATTCCTCTGAGCAAGACACAGCAATGTGTAAAATGTTTAAGCAACCTTTTAGAGACCTCCCCTTGGGTAGCAGCTGTATGGTGCTCCTCCGCACACTACACTTTGTAGCACTGGCAAGTGTGGAGTGCTGAGACAAGGGAAGAAGCAAATTAAAGGAAGGGAGAAATACCCAGGGTTAGAAGTGGGAGGGCTAGCTCAGTTGCCCGTCCCCGCCTTCGCCCCAATTGGTCCAGTGACACAGTGTACTTTAGTCTTTTCTGCGCATGTCAAGGCTTTCTGTCCCTCGGCGGACACCGTTTCCTAGCCAAGCAATGTCTGCGCTTTCGCCGATTCCGTAGCGTGCGGAGTTCTACCCTTTTCCCAGTCTCGCT